GCTCACAGCAACCTCAAACTCTTAGGCTTAAGCGATTCTCTTGCCTCAGTCTCCTAAGTAGCTGGGACTACAGTCACCTGCCACAACACCTGGCCATTTTTTGGTTGTAGTTGTCATTATTGTTTGGCAGGCCTGGGCTGGATTCAAACCCACCAGCTCCCGTGTATGTGGCTGGTGCCCTAGTAGCTGAGCTACAGGCGCCTAGAATGTTATTAATAAAGTTTTTTGTGAGCAGTGCCTGTAGCTCAATGATAGGGCGCCTGCCACATGCACTGAGGCTGGTGTGTTGGAACCGGCTGGGGCCAGCTAAAACAATGGCACCCACAACAACAATAACAAAAAACAGCCACAGAGTTGTGGTAGGTGCCTGTGGTCCCAGCTACTTGGGAAGCTGAGGCAGGAGAATTGCTGAAGCCCAGGAGTTTGAGGTTGCTGTGAGTTGTGACACCACGGCACTCTACCCAGGATGACAGCCTGAGATTCTGTCTCAAAATAAATAAATAAAGTAAAATAAAAAATAAAGTTTTTTGTGTGGTACTAAATCAATGTCATTGTGTTTTTTTTGTTTCTTCATTTGTTTTCAAACAGAGTCTCACTTTGTCACCCTCTGTAGAGTGCAGTTGCATCACAGCTCACAGCAACTTGAAACTCTTGGGCTCCAGTGATTCTTTTGCCTCAGCCTCACAAGTAGCTGGACTCTAGGTGCACTACAATGCCTGGCTTTGCTTTTTTTTAGAGACAAGGTCTTGCTCTTGCTCAGGCTGTATCCCAGTTCAGACCTGCCACATTCCATGGGCTCATCAGCCAGTGGCTGCTACATGGAAATGGAGTTCTGAGGTCTCTGACTCCTCTGACCTCAGAAAAATGAAGAGTCTGACCCCCATTTTCTTCCAGATAATGAGGAGACACCAACTTCTCACCAACAGTGTGCTCATGTCTACATACTCAACACCATACAATGAGAGATCCAACTTTAAGTAAAGAAAAAAGAAAATCAAAACATGTAGAGTGCTTTCTGTTTACTCAAGTAACTAGTAATCAATCTGTCATTTAATCCTAGTATAGTACCTGTACTGGGTTTATATGTTAGTTAGCTAGTGCTATAAAACAAACTGTAAAATATCATTGAATTAATAGGTTTATATTTCTATTCTGTCTTTGAACCATTTCTCCCCATTTCTGTTGGCATCCTGCTTCCTTTTGTTGATAACCATGTCTATGGATAAAAATAAACGTCATTTGGGGATAGTCCAAACCCTGAATAAGTCTGGGTGCTAGAGACTGATAAGGGCATGAAGGTCAGTATTCATTGCTACCTTTGGAGAAATAGATAATATAGAAAAGGCAAATAAGCATGATGATAGTGAACCTTAAATGAGCTATGTCCAACAAACTCTTTGAAGCATATCTTGCTATAATATTCCAGATGAAATATTCTAGCTTACATGAAGGTTGTGTTGACCAGTTTGATGGAAGTATTTCAGATTGCATGTGAAAACCCCACACTGTACCCCAGAAGTGCATTAATGTACATAGTTACCATTCAA